TCCTTCCTCAACCACGCAAATACCTGGAACGCGAACGTTCTCATTCATTCGTGAGCTTCTTTCTGTCCGTCTGCAAAAACACTATAAAAATCTCTACTTAAGTAGTATGCATTCTCTCATTTGTGTTCAATGCCCTTAAACATTCAAACATATTTCCAAGGAAACCTGCGCAACAAAATATGCTAAGTATACTCACTTCGTATTAGATGGCGAGTTCCTCACATATAAAACTTAAAGAAAGGGTACATTTCAATTTCTAAAAAAAGTTTCTAAATTGCCGAGTAGCTTTGGACCCTACTGGCTGTTACACTTGCACTCAAGGTTTGCAAACTACACACTGTGTTTATTCCGTCTACTAAAACTCACATTCCTCTGCCATATGAGGAAGAGGTCACATGGTTCTCATAAAATTTTTAAATGGGTGTGGTTCACGTTGCGTACTGTCTAATTTGACGGTCATAAAAGACCCCATAATTAGGGACTTTTCGAACACCGGAAGATACTTTTTTCAAGTGTAAAATCTGAAAAAGGCTTACAAAATGAGTATCAGCAAGAATATGTTCTCCATAAAATATATGTAAATCTATAAGGACATCGGCAACGGGGCAAATGCATACTACTTAAGTAGAATTTTTACAGCATATATACTCCCTGCAGGCGACCAGAGAGAAGCTCGTCCAAAAGCTGGCAGCCCAACGTGACTGAACCATCTTGAGATTAGACTCTACGATAATTGGATCGAAAGCACATTTCGGAATTTTAGTTGATATTTCATGAGATACCACATCTACTGTAAATTAGAATTGCGTATACATGCCCCCTGCCCACGTCACGCAGGTGACATTGCGCTACTTCCCAGGAAGGGTATATCTTCCTGTGTCCTAAATGTAACCCAAATGTCACCCTTGACTCTAATTCTAACCTCCACCCTAAATGCCCCGGTGTATGCTAGACAGTTCTTGTACGCGTGTTCTGCCAGGGGAGAAAAAGGCGGTGGTGGTGGCTCGTATAAGCGTTCCTTACTGCCTAATCTCCCTTGTAAGCCTCTCATTGGCCGCTATCTCTCAAGCCCTCGTAACTCACCTTGTTGTCCTTTCTTCTCTACCTCGCCCCCAAACAGGCGAACTCGACGCGGAGAAGTCGACCAACGAGTCCTTGCGTCAGGAGATGGAGAGCATCGTGGCAGAATTGCAGAACCTCTAGGCGGGGACCAGCGCCGCTGCATGAGTTCTGCTCGCCTGTCTCTCTGCATGTCCTTCGATTTACCGCGAACCGTTTTTTCTCCTCCAG